AGATAATCTATGTACACGCAGAGAGCAAACAGGGAGTGAAGGAGGTGGTTCTGAAGCCCGGGAGACCTACTAGTGATGTGCCAGTTGGGAAAAGGTATCATAGCTATATACACTGCTCCAGACACAATACCTTGTGCCTTTATTACAGCTAGTTTTAGTACAAAACCTTGAGTAAAAGAAGTTGGCGTCACTTATTAGATTGTGACTGGGGTATTTCCATGGTCCAGAGGTGTGGCTGTGCTTTGCCGGAAGACGTGAAGATGTTCTACCTAACCCACAACGGACCCAAACTAGAATGGACTTGCCAACGACATCAAGGTCTATCCCCAATTGGGAAAATGATATAATATTTACAGTGGAAAGATCACTCGCGTTCCTGTTAACCATCAAAAATTATGGGTGATTTGATCTTCATTCCTTGCCTGAGCGAGCCCTAGGCAATATATGTCTCAACAACTTGGTAGAAAGGCGAGGCAAGGCAAACAAGTCAGCTACGACCCAGAACAGCTCTTTCTATTCAACGAAAAGAAGAAGAGCTGCCCTGGGTGGGATTTGAACCCACAGACTAACCCAACTAGAACTTAGCTAATAATAATTATAGTGAAAAACCTGCAATTGAACTGTCCCCTGGAGTTCATACAAATGAAAGTCCCCTATTCAAATTTGTTTCCTCTACTCCAGCAGATACTGTAGTGCCAGTAGGGAGAATCCACATACCATCACTCAATGATCTTCGACCCCTGGTCCCTGATCAGTCTCAGCCTGATGAGTCCAGGAGATCGTCTCCTTCTCTGGCAGACCTGGAACCACTAGACTCCAGTATAACATAAAGCAGATTAACTTTTTTTAGTTGGCTTCTGTTCCATACATATGTAAGATACAAAAGAATACAACCAACCCCATAATTATGCCTGCACCATGCAAATTCTCCTATATACCGTGTTTTCACTGGGTCAAATCGTCATTAATAGCCTGTTGTTCATGTTCTCAGTTATGTGAGAGGTTGAACTGTATATATGGCCTTGCATTACTCCCATTATGTATGCTCTTCTCTCTGTGCTGTAAGCCCATGATTCATTGCTACCCCACAGAGAACGGCTGTGTGCCCTCCCTGCTGGGTGAGTGTTCAGTGATGGTGCTGGACTACTGCCCCACATGTGGTCACACATGTCTCGTCTTTCGACAACACTCACCACTACCATCTACTCCTACTACTACTACTGATAAAAGTGAGTAGATGAAACGATTCTCCATTGCGTGTTAATTCAAGGCAAGTGCACATACATGGAAGGAAATTTCAACAAATTTACAGTGGAACCTCCGATAAAGGACCCTTCGAGATAGTGATGACCTCTCTACAAGTTGGGTCCCTTTTTCAGAGGTTCCACTGAATCTGCTGTCAATACTGGTATTATTAGCACGCATTTATGGCAGGCGTGATTGCGAGTCATGGAATGTATACACGTAGTAGGACCGTTGCATGTGCATTTGTCAAGTGGTTCAGAGGTTCATTGGTTAAGGAAAATCACACGATTATGACAAGTATAGCAAGGCTCACTTCATTTGCCAATATAAAACAACACGTTCAATATCGATATATAAACACTTGTAAAAAGTAAAAGCCACCTAATTCCCAGTTATTTTCGGACATGAGCTACACATCAAGTTCCAGTTCGTACTCATCATTGTTCCCCCACTCATACTCGATGACATCACCATTATCCCACTGGACTTTGACCTTGAACGACTCTTGCTCCTCCCCATCGTCAACCATGAGAGCTCCATTCGTCACATCCGGCTCTTTGCTCAGAACAGTTCCCCCTGGTCACATTTCCCTCCCCACCTTTCCAGTCAGGGCCCGGCTTGACCACACTGGCATCCTCGGGCACACCCCAGACCACCATTACATCATCGCATCTCTTGCACACGGCCCCAGCCACCCAGACCTCGATCGTGTGTTTTCCAGCACAGCGAGGGAAAAAGGGTAGTATACACTCCCTTTCAGTGGGTTCTTTCGGGGCTAGAATGACCGAACGCTGCTTTTGACTTCCGTATAGGATTTTCAGTACCGGTCTTGTGTTGATGGGCAAAATGAATTTGACTGTGATTAGGTTCTCTGTGTTCATTAAGCAGAACTCCGGCGGCTCAACGCGAATGTCACGTTCCTGTATCTCTCGCAGCCTACCGAGTTTCAGTTGTTTCTTTTCGAAAACCAGTGGGCGTCTGAGTGGCGAGATGTCACAGCTGCTCATGGTGCTCTTGAGTTGGTTGATGGCCAGGCCACTCATTTCAATGATCTCGTCGTCATTCGTACAGGTGGCTGCCCTCTTTGCAAACTGTATTCCAGTCTTTAGTTTCTCCATTGCGTTTTCTGTGTCTGTCTTCTGAGCCATCAGCCCTTTCGTCATCTCAGAGCACCTTTGCTGAGCCTCGTTAACCATCTGACGGCAGTACAGCTCAATTTGCTTCATGTAGCTCTCAAACGTGCTGGTGATGCTCAGCTCCAGACTCCCGGGATAGTTAGCCAAACCACCCTCCATATGCTTCAGTTCTGTCATTCGTGACTCGAGGACACAAAACTGCTTTTCTGCATGGTCACTCATTTTCTTCACTTCTGTCTGCCTTGTACGACTGACCTCCAGGAGCGACTTTGCATTCTCAATGTGCCCTGCATGTCTATCTTTGAGGCACAGAGAGCATAAGAAAGTGTTGCACCGCTCACAGTAGAGCTGGATACCTAGCTCGTGGACGTTGCATGTGCGTTGGCGCTTGTGGAGATTGAAGTTACCCTCGGAGAGGTCTTTCCAGGCCGTGTACTTGTGCTCACGAAACAACTTCACCCTCTGGTGAAGTTGGATGCAATCACCGCATATCCCTCCGCCGCATTCCCTGCAGTAGGCGTCAGTCGCGCCTTCTTCCTCGCAGCTTTTGCACGGTCCCGCCTTCTCGTCCTCCGCCTCGCAGAACGAGCGAAACACCGCCGATCTCTGTACGGCGTGGTCTAGCGGGAAATCCTCCGCGCTCAACGGAGGGTCGCATTCGGCCCTGCAGTTAGGGCACACGAGTTTCTCGCCGCTCTCGTTCAGGAGCCCCTGGAGGCACTTGGTGCAAAATACGTGGAGACAGGGGAGGGTTCGTGGTTCCATGTGTGGTTCCTGACACACCGTGCATTTCTCCTCCTCGTCCTGGGCGCCGCGGGCTCTTGGAGATCCCGGAAAGGCTCGTGGAGACTGAAAAGGCGACGCCATTTTACCCTGATCCGCCCCGCCCTTTGGGAATACGTCGCTGCCTAGCCCCTCCTATCATGTTCCGTCCGCATTCATGCGGACGTACGTGCGCACAAAACTAAATTTTTGAGGCCTTCCATCCCACTCTGCTACCAAATTTTTGCAGTTTTGACCTGCAGACTCCTTTTGCCATGCTGTTATAGAGTTGTTATAGCCAATGCTACACACACTGACTGCAGGTGATAGCTGCAGTGTATGGCTATTGGACCTGGGTCTAAGCTGGCATCAGCTGAGTCCCTCATTCTCTGACTACCTCCGACTGGCCACTGTACATTTGGGCCTCAGACAGTGGCCATATGCTCTCACTTCTAACAGACTCAGCCCTCAATATGAGGTAGGCTTTTCAGTACAGTGCACCATATAATTATGCAGTAACTATAGTTTTTAGATGATACTGCCTAGCGTTTGCTTCCCAGTCATTGCACATAAAAAAAGAAAAAGCACTGAAGTTCAAACCCTCGGCGAACTGCGCTTGCGCGATACCGCTAATTTACCGGGCGGGGCCGTAGTATGCGTTTACTCTCCCGCTAGTAGCACACGGAGAGTCTGACACGGGCTAGCTACAGTAGTAGATAGCATGCGGGAGTAGATACACGCCCTTCATTGTGACGTCTTGTGCTTCCAAGGTACGCAGATCAAGCACATCTTGTCGAGGTAAGCCCGTGCTAATTTGCATATTGGCCTGTTCACTTGCTTTTCACGCCATAAATTTGAACGCTGTGTTTTTACAAAAATCGCCAGTTTTAAAAATGAAGCAAATATAGCGCCGAACCCGTTGCTGTAGAGTTTTGGCGATCTTGTTGCGTCTAGTGGCAGAAAACGTGAACGGACACACAGACACACAGACAGACGCACAAACCAAGTACAGTAACCCTCGCTGCGCATGCGCGCCGAGGGTAAAACTAAAAATGCATGCACATATACGTAAATCCAGACTCTGGAAACAAGGACACCCTCTATATAATGGACACTTGGTTTTGCTCTACACTAAGAGGCATTGTTAACACAGTATGGTGCATGCCGTAGAGTTGCGTAGTCTTGTGTAACTGTACCACGCATATGTGGTCGCTGCAATCAAACTCCACACAATTTTTATGCATATGTACACAGGAATAGAAACTCCGTACACAGGAGAATAGAAACTCCGCCTATCGCCTGCAGAGTGATCTGCTAGTGCTCTATAGCAGGTATGCATAAAAAGACTTTGTGAATAAGCCCATCTCCGAATAAGGGAGACCTCTAATATTAGGACACTGTCCATGTTTCCAAAGTGTCCCTTATGCAGAAATTTCACTGTAGAACGATTGTGAAGATGCTACTCAACACACACACACACACATTGGAGTAAAAAAAATCCCCATTGCCATCCCTGTAATTGTAGTAAAAACCACGGGCATGCTCAGCCCCCCCACGCAATTATTGTTACTCCACTGGGTGGTTGACCCAAGGCAGGTGTGTGTATCTTGTCTGATCTTGTCACAACAAGGCAGTAGGTAAACTTGCTGTGCATGCATACTACCTTCTTTTACTGACACAACCTAAAATAGGACTTAGAAAAACAGAGAAACTGCAACTATAGCATGACACACTATAAGCTTAGCAAGACAAACTGACAATACTGTGTGCATACCAGACTCCGTTACGTGGGAGTGGTCCCGCCTCAGTGGTAGTGAGGCGCAGGTCGGGAGATTAAAGGGACCGAAACCTGTGACCTACACGATGAGCTCCCCTGATGACAGACAAAACAAGACAGAGAGACAGGGTTCCCAGGTTGTTAGGTTTGGGGATGGGTGGTGGGACTGCCGTCACTCATTCTAAATCCAATGCATGTGACCACGGACAAAAGCCTCTCAATCCCTAGCACTCTTTCTTTCTCTCTTCCCCCATGCAAACACACACACACACACTCATTTTCTGTGGCAGTACTGGTTCAATGTATTTGCTCCTCATCGACTGGAGGTGGACCAGACTCACTATCTCAGTCACAGTCAACAGCCACAGCAGAGGCAGGAGGAGATTATGACTGGCAGTGGATGTGGGGCAGTGGAGACGACTGGTATCAATGTGGTGGATGTTGGTAAACTATTGGCAGCAAAACCATCCAGAGAGAAAAGGTCAGTGTCAGAAGAGAAAGTAATCTGAACCAAATTCCACAGATTAAATTTTGCAGATTGGCCCAGCCAACTATGCACGGGCTGTCCCAATGTTTTCTGAATGGCTCTTTATTGCTCGAATTTGTTTTTCAGTTTCTTGTTTTAGCTAGGGTTGCAGGTTTAATTGATGTTGTCGCCATGCTGTAATGGTTGGCTGTTGTTGTTACTCAATCATTCAGTGGCAGTGGGAGGTTGAAGTCTGCTAGTAGCTCGAGACAGTCGTCACAGAGATCAGCTACCTCACGTCGATCTGCAGCTACCAAAGACTAACTAATCACAACTTTTGTCTCAGCTACCTCAAGTTGATCTGCATTCATCAATAAGACTAACTATTCTTCCCTTTCTCTTTGTTTCTCCCTGTCTCAACTCTTAGGCTAGGTTTACATACAATACACCGCATGGTCCTGTCACACCACCACAGTGTTCAAGTCAAGAGCATATCTATCCTCGTGGCACAGTGTGACTGGCCAATGCAATGTTTTGTGAACCTTGCCGTGCAAAGGTATAGACAATACCAAAGTACAGTAAATCAAGTCCTGTTGTGTATGCATTGCGTATCTTAATATCTTGTATCATCGGATTTCTATTGTTTTTTTCTTCCAAAATTCAATGTGTCTGTTTGGAGCCATCATTGTTACGCACACACGTAAATGGTACGTGTGTCTTTCCTGCAAAATCCAAAATCGCATAGCTTGTGTCTGTTGCTAAAGATGTGTATACATGGGCTTTCATGTCAAGTATCGGTCACTTGTATAATTATACAGAGGTCATTATGGTGTGATAATTGCAGGGGCTCGTGACAGTCGTAGTCATGTCAGTGGTTCCTCCACCAGTGGTTTGTTGGGATTGTTCTGCAACAGCCACTCGGCCAGCCACGTCTACACAGAGACACACAATACATCACTCACTATATATATGGTGGAACCTCTCTAATACAGTAGGAGTCCAAAAAAAAGTTTCCAATATGAGTCCGTTCCTTTTCGTTTCCGTTCCGTTTCCTACTGAAAAACCGTTCATTTATCGTTGGCGTTCCGTTTCTTTTCGTTTTTCACTTCACGCGCGCGTGGCAGTCTACAAGCGCGGATTTTATTTTGCCAGTTGCGCCGATTCAACTGGGGATGTCTCTTCGTGCATCGATAAAGCAGCACCGTCACGACCAGGGTAAGATCCGTCGCGGTGCCCGCAGCCGCGCGCAGGAAGCGCCCAGCGTGGCGTCCCGTGTGTGGGCCGAAGGCGGTTCGGCCTGGCTGCGCACGCCCGCGCGTTCGCGCAACAGGAAATCCGTTAGCGAAAACCGCGCTGTTTACACTAAACCCCAAGCGCTCTGGTGGACTGGGTTGGGGAGGAAAGCTACTCCGTGGTCCCATGCTTGAGCATCAACCATGGAGTGTACAGCGTTGGCAGCGCTGTGGAGAATGTGACCAAGGAGTTTCAAGGGAGTCATTTGTGCTGTTGGTAATTAAACAACTATCTTATTATTTTATATAGAAAATGATTGTTAAAGTTTGAATTGAGGTATCGAGGACGCAGCTGAAGCCAAAAACAAAATCTTGTATTTACTCTAGATGCATGTAACAGACGCGCTGTCTAGACGGACATGCATGACATAGAGTTCTGTCTATGAAGGCACTAAGGAGGAGATGAGGAAGCTGGAGCTGGAGCGGGGAGAGCAAGAGAGTGAGGAGGTTGAGAACTCTGCGCCGGTTGAGAAGCAACAGGACATGTGAGAGTATAATGATATGACCTGAGATAGTGTGCAACTTATACTTCTATCTCAGCTGCTGCTGCCAAGAACAGACAGGGAAAGAAGAGAGGGAGGGGTGAACAAGGTTCAGTGACGAAGAAGAGAAAGAGTCAGGGTTAGTTTGAAATGATGACAGTCTTTTTTCACAGTCAACTGCAGGAGGAATGCTTAGAATGGTAATTGCCACTGAGCATGGCACCATGTCTGGTAACTTTCTCTTCTTTCTTGTGCAACAGTGCATACTATATGTACGTTCATATCCATGCAGATGCTGCAGCAACTGAAGGGGAAATGCCAGCTGAAAACCCCCAACCTCCCCTCCCGGCTTCTCTCCTCCAGTAGACTCACCTCCATCTCCCTCACGTTCGTCTCACCTCCCAGCTTCCTCCGACCAAAACCCCTCAACTACTCCTCCAGCTACTCCCACAGTTAGTCTCCCCACTACTCCCCAAGCTACTACCTGTGTCGGAAACCCCTCAGCTATCAAGGGTTTGTATAGATAATAATCATTATTGCTTATGTCACTGACTGACCGATACAGATCTCACTCAGTTGATTGGGGATGCTTTACAACCCTCAAGCCCCTTGGCTCTTTTGGAGGAAAATGGTATGCATTTCGACCATTTTACAGTAATCATCTTTCAACACAAATAGCTGTCAAGGAGGGTGTCTTCTTTGGAAAACACCATTATATCTATGCAGAACACCAAGGCCCGGCTCGTCAGTGAACTGCAACAGGTGTCTAACAGGCTGTTTTACTTGACAGACATGTATTTATTACAACTTCGACAGCGTTCTGCAGTGCCAAATTCCCCTATTACGTATAATTTATATATAGTAACGTAGCGGAAGGGAACGGAATGGAACGGAACGGTAAAACTAAATGGAGACTGAGCGGGAAACTAAACGGAACGATAGTAAACGGTAAACGGAAAGAAACGGAACGTTATTGGAAACTTTTTTGGACTCCTACTGTATTACAAGTGGAAAAATCATTTCTTCAAAATGAAGGGGGATATAGGGATGGCTTGAAGCACCAAAAAGGAAGAAACAAGGGGTCATTACACAGCAAAGATGCACCAAGCTACATGACACCATCCCTATATCTTTGTCTCATAGTAAACTTTACGTGTGAACTATAATATAAAACACAAAGATATAGGGATGGTGTCATGTAGCTTGGTGCATCTTTGCTGTGTAATGACCCCTTGTTTCTTCCTTTTTGGTGCTTCAAGCCACCCCCTTCATTTTGAAGAAATGATTTTTCCACTATTTTTCATGCCTTCTGCATTTTCAGTCACTCTGATGTTCATGGGTGTTGTAGAGATAACTGTTGAAAGCAGAAGCTAATGTAGGGTGTAAGCCTATGCGTAGTGTCTCCAACAACGATCGATTAGGTTGTGGCACATATGGTGGGGTGGTATCCTAGGCAGGCTTCAGTAATCAGACTACAATGATAGCTATAGCCTGGAGGACAAACAATGAAGGCGCTGGGCAAGGCCCGCGTAACACGGCGCACACTGCCAAGTTGCTCCTCTTACAAATCATCAGCAAAACGTAAGCTAGCCAGTTAAAAATGTGTATACTGACTTATATACAGAAGGCACTGGAGTTCCTCTGCAGGCATCCTGGCTTAGTCTCGAAGACCTGGTTCACGCACGAGAATAGTAATACGCGCGCACCGCATTGGGGAAACGCCCTCCTCCGCGCGGCTCACTGCGTTGAGTGACTACCGTGGAATAGCTCAACGATCTACCTTAACAAGCGATCGCTTGATATGCGTGCACACCTCCGGCAAATTTGGAGACGTTCTGTGAAAAAATCAACGCTTCAACTGCTTCCGGTAAGAAGCTAGCGGGTCTGAAGAAGAAGAAGAAGAAGAAGAATTTTGATGATTATGATGACACTAAGATCGCGAAATCGAGCCTTGTGTCTGCCTACCCCCCTAC